ACACCAAGAACACAAATCCAGAGAGTTCAAAGCAAAAAGTCTGCACTAACTCGATTTAGGGCCAGATGAAAATTGTAATAATTGTCAAGTAAATGCTATATTTATACTATATAATTGTGAAGATGACATAAAATTAAATATTGGTAAAAACACCCGATGCTTTCATCCCGTACAAAGAATATGCCATTGGTTAAATTTTGATTTAAACCAAAATGCACAAAACATAATGGACAAGGAAACATACAGAATTTTGGTCATTCATTAACGGTAATAGAGAGTTATCTCCCTTTCTGTCAAATGTCTGCAATTGGTAACACTATTTCAGGTGCGTGTTGACGCACAAGACCATGTGTGAGCACACAAGCCCATTATTCATATCATTTATGGGGTCACAGGGGACTGCAAGGGTTGGTGAGCTGGTGTTTACCCAGAAATTATGGGAGGAGCGCCTAATCAGATGAGCAAGGAGATATGTTTGAAATTGGTTGAGCAATATGTCTATGAAGTAATGGAGACCAGACTATGTCGGTAGTTTTGTAAATCGCATTCAAACAACGTGATTTTTTCCACTAAAACATAAACTCACACCAACATACCCTTTCAGTTAGACCCTACGTTATTTTTACTACAGCTAGCTGTAAACCTCTAGTTCAGATATTTAAGGTCGAATTACAAACACTTAAACTGAAACGATATCTATAATTGTTTAATTTGCTAACAAATATAGATTTAAGACAAAAATTATTTATTGAAGTAAAACAGTCATTGAAAATCAAAATTATGCAGCTACCCTGCACTTTAAATGCCATCTAAGTTAGTCGTTATCATCATCACTCTCACTACATGTATAAACATCAAGTTGGGTTTCTTTAACAGTCTTTTTGTTTCATTTACTACATTTGCATAGATTAGATATGTACATGTATCCCCCTGGAGTTGGCTGGAAGGACAATGCCCAGTCGTTTGGATGGGAGGGAAAACAATGGTTGAAACAATATTTGATTCAGCAAACTGAATCGGATTCAACAACAGGTAAGGGGGTGTAGGGGGCTAATCACAGTTGGGGGGGGGGGGGGGCTGAGCCTATTTGCCTGAAAAATATGTCACCCAAATATTCTAAATGAATCAATCATTAACTAAAATGAATTTGAAGCTTGTGCCTGAAAAACTGAAATACATTGCCCGAAAAATGGACGGTTCAACCAATCTGGGAGGGCGGGCGGGTGAGCATATAAGCTCTCCCAAAACAGTATTTCTACTAATATATATGTAAACTTTTAGTTCAGATTAGATTTGGGGCTAAATTCCGAACAAATATTTGAATTGAAACAAAGCATCTATATGTAATTTTCTCACTAAAATAGATATATGGCAAAACCTAAATAATACTGTAAGGCAGTGGCAATTGTAATGACGAGAAAAAAACTAACCGTCATAATGAAGATGTACATACGCCCGCCATACATTATGCCATGGGGGGGGGGGGGGTCAAACAACAACGTTACAGTCTACTCTTTATTTCGAATTTAAAGTTCTTTTACGTGCATGTCAACGTGTGCACGGGACATCAGTTTTATATTCCATCCGAATAACTAGACGCTGCCCATCACAGCCGCCCCCCCCCCCCCCTATTCCTGCACCAGTGACAAGGGGAAACAACGCTTGAAAGTTTGGGGAACTGTCTAGGTCAACATAGGGGATCAAACCCCGGACCTCCTGATGTGTGAGCCACGGACAAGGAGAAACTACGCCGGACTAGGATCAATCCCTGGGCCGCCCGGTAAGTGAGCCAGCCCTTTACTGAGTCACCGCGGCTCCCTTGCACACTGATGATGACACTTGCATACTAGTTGTACACGTACAATGCCTCCCCCCCCCTCACTCAAACAATAATGTATGATGTACGCCCACCTTCATTCTACGGGTTGGTACAGAACAGTAAGACATTAAACTCCATTTGATATTTTTTCTCTTCATTACAATATTGTCACTCCCAATACAGTATAATTTAGTTTAGGCCATATCTATTTTAGTGAGAAAACTAAATATCTGTAGATGCTATGTTTCAGGTTAAATATTTGTTAGACCTTTAGCCTCAAATCCTATCTGAAAAAAGGTTGAACTTATATAGGCCCTTGTCTGTAGTTAAATCCTGTTACTGTTAACAATATGTATTGATATTTTCTATAATGGGGGATAACTCCCTTTACCATAAATGGATTTCCGAAATTCTGTAGGTTTCCCTGTCCATTATGTTTTCTGCATTTTGCTTTCAATCAAAATTTCACCAACAGCATATTCTTTGCATAGGATGAAGGCGTCGAGTGTTTTTGCCAATATTCAATTTTATGTCAACTTCACAATTATTAGTATAAATATTGCATTTACTTGACAATTATCACAATTTTCATCTGGCCCTAAATCGAGTTAGTGCAGACTTTTTGCTTGGAACTCTCTGGATTTGTGTTCCTGGTGTTATAAGGTTTCCAAAAATGTATAGTTTGTTTATTTGGGAGGACCATGCAGCGGAACTTCACGCTAGAAATTTTGGCTGCAGACCTTTAAAATATGACCTCGGCACTATTCGTAACTTTCAGAAGAAGGTTAAACGAAGGGACCAGACACTGATTCATGATAAAGAACTACTGAAAGCACAAGCTCGAGAAATCCTGACTTTACGCGATGAAATGACGAAACCGACTTAAAATTAAACGAAATATTAAACATCAACGAAAAAAAAACTTGCAAAGTTGAGGAATGAAAAAAAGGCTCTACAGGGAAAGTTGTGGTATTCTTCAAGAAAGACATCTTGGTGCTCAAAATGGGACAATGAAATATTTAATAATGAGGAAAGATGGCTGAGCTGGAAATGAGAATGTCTGAATTGAATGAGGAAAATAAAATTTTGGAGGCTACAGTTGACTGTTTACAAACTGATGCTGGTGCTACTTTTCAGGATGGGAAATACATAGATGAAATTAGGGAGGTCATCGTTGAGCTCCCGACGATGAATATTTCCATTCGAAAAGTTGATGTGATCAGAACAGTGCTAAAAAAAACTGGGTAAATGGACATGGGGAAACCTTCCAAGTCAGGCATTGAAATCACGTCTGTTTATGGAAGCTAGGCATCTGGCATAGATACAGTGGCACAAGTCCTTCTTGACACTAACCCAGAAACTGGTACGGGTGGTTGCCTACACGGTGATACTACCACAAAGTTTTCCAAGCATTACCAGTCATACCAGTTGACATGAGATAGCTATACCATGGGGATTCTGGACATGGCAAGTGGTACCGCTGATGCCTACATTCAAGCATATAAGGACAATGTAAGCCAGTTAGCAGGGGCCATATCTTCAGTTGGTAAGCAACCGGACAAGCAACTTGCGGTAGCTCAGATGACAAATGGAATAAAGAATACGATGAATGACCAGGAACCAACGAATTAAGTACGGAGGACAAACGTAGGGACATGGCCATTTTTTCGGAAAAAATACGAGTGGAGAAACAGAAGCTAATTGGCCGTCTGCACGAGCAGAGGACAAAGTGAAAAAGACGAGAGACATGCTGTCAAAGCTCATAGAAAACCCCGAAGGACTTTGTGGGAAATCCAGTGGTTTAAAGGGACCGTGCTGGAAGTGACCAAAATTGATGGTAATAAATCGATTTATCTGGTGCGGCATGGCGATGACAATGACAATGAAAACGACAGAGAAGATCAACATGAATTCCCCCTTTTAACCGACATAAAAAATGCTGACTTGATAATCAATTAGGCAAGTACAATCTTGTGCGTGTCATTGTCTGGTGGCCATATTGGATTCAAAATGGCGGCTAATTTTTTTCTTGTCTTTAGTCACCATGATAATGAGTTCGGAGCAAAACAGTAGGACGTTAAAACTCATTTCATTTCATTTCATATGAACACTTTCTTGTAGTTTTCAAGAAGCACTGACTGTTTCATTTACCTAATTACGTATTCATGGCGGCCATTTTGAATTCTTAGTGAGCATACTTAGCGTAAATTTCATTCAAACTCAAGTATTTGACCAGTTCCTGTACTTGACCAAAGTTTATGAAAATCGACCCAAGGGTTGTTGAGAATTTTCATTTTGAACTTCTAAAAATGGCAAATTTTCTGCAATTGTTGTGCCATTTGGCTAATTAAGACTAAGACAGAAGACTCATCTAATAAACGCATCAATTACGGAATTTGAAATTGCCATAACTTCGTCATCTGTGGACGGATTTGCAAAATTCAAAGACTGTTATCTTAGACCTTTCCCTTTCCAATTCCGCGGTGATTACCTCCCAACAGCCACTTTGAAATTTTGCCTTGAACACCCCAACGAAGGGTAATTATGTCGAGGTATGCGTCACGGTTATTTGAATATTGTAAAGAGTGACTACCTACCACTACTTCTGTAAAACATGAAAGAAAAACCAACAACGAGGCGGATTCCCCCATCCCCAAATAAATAGATGACACACATTAATTAATTGCATATTGTAAAGCATTAAGCAATCCTACTGCTTTTCTATATTTAGCATGCGTCGTCGAAAATACTCCTCGAACGTAGCCTAAGTATTGATGTAAATAAACTTCACATAAAGTTCACTTAATTAGAATTATAGTTATCGTGTCCCAAAGCATCGATCAATTAAACTGCTTATCTATCTTTAGCTTAAATAGAAAATGCCCATCAACTTCAGTACAGTCACCTAATAAAAACCCAAGCAACTTTGACTATTCTAGCTTAAATAGAAGCGGGGTTATTATGTCTGAAAAGTGTCATGGGCAGACAAGAGCGAGCTGATTTTAAAAGTCTTTATTCAAAAGGCAGGGGACCTATAATTTCATATAGCATTATCTGGTGCCTTGCCAGGAATGGTTAAAATAATAAATATAAATTTAATGGTTGACATCACATTTCAAACCTGGTATAATTACCCAAATAGATGTAATCATGTAATATTATAATTCAAGGCAACTGGAAATCAAGGTAATGCAAATTTATTTGTTCGTGTCATACAATTCATATTTATTTGTATATTATGTTAAGTTGTCACATACAGTTGATAATTAACAAGACGACGGGATAAGGGTGATGTCATCAATACTAACTGAGTTGCCTGGCTTTCCACCAAGGAATGCTGTGAACACAAACTGAAAAAGAAGATGTAACGTGATTAGTAATGATCGTTTCCCGAATTTACACACAATTAAATCTTAACGACATTTTAATGTAATGCTTGAAGAAACCAATTATAACATGTCTATTCCTAGTTTAAGTTTACAGCATTAAAAATTCAAAAATTATGAACAGTAGAACCTGAGGTCTCCTGTTTTAATATGCCCTTCGCGTGTCTTGCGCGTCCTAAAAGGATCCTTGTAATGGAGAAGCCGGTTTGCCGTCCAATGTCCGTTGAGAATGGAATCATGATTATTGAGTGGTGATTTGGCTTGATAGCCCTTTCTATGCAACACATTACTTTCACCCATTGTTCACCTAGAAGAGAGCTGGAGTGACCCGAACTGATGAACTGGCTTTGGCCGTCTTGTCATTAAGGAGGTGGTAATTATCTTTGGGTTTTTTGGGGGTTTTTTTTTCTTGTTTTGAAATATCTTATCTTTTTGTCCTGGACACCATCTCAGAGAGTGAGGCTTATGGTCAGTCAGGTGAGTCCCCATGCGCAGCCCCCACCCTGGTAGGCAGATAAGTAACTTTGGGATCGACGATGGACGAATTCCTTAATTCATGTTCATAGGTCTTCCATATCTACAAACCAAACATCTATTGAAAGCCCGTATTCAAATAAATAAAAGAACATGCTCAAGCGGGCACTAGTACCAGAGTCGTCGTCCTAAAAAAGGCTGCTATCACACTGTAATTTAAGAAACTTTCCAGTAGACAGGGCCCATTAGACATCGTCTGAACGACGACTTGTGACAACCTCTCGAAAAGGCCGTCACATATTATTATCCTACAGGGTCGTTCTCCGTTAGTTTTACGAGCTGTTACTTTATTTTGAGGGGCCCACATGAATTGATCAGTAACACCGTTCTTCACCGATTACGCTGTCGGACCAATTCTGACTCAACGCCATCAATATCACAGTTTAGGCAACATTGACAGTGGCGATTACAACAATGGCATGATGTCATCTTCTCTTATGAATCCAGTACTGTGAACGGTACATCAGCGACTACATTGTGCAAAAATTAGTTGGGTTGCGGGAAGTGGAACACAGGAACTAGCTCTAGCCGGACATCAAGCTAAAAACGCGATTTTTCGTACAATGAGTGGCCATAATCCAGGAAGTAACGGTCCGATATGCGCTAATATCGAAAGGAACCGAGATCTCTGGGTTAAAACATTCATTTTAAGTTTCATCAAAAGCGGATAAAAATTGTGACATCTAGCGTGTCCACAAGCTAAAATCGTGATTTTTCGTACAAGCAGGTGTCATAATCCAATACGTTACGGTCCAATACATGCCAATATCAACAGGAACCGAGACCTCTGGGAGTTAAACCGATATTTCAAGTTTCGTCAAAATCGGATAAGAAATTTTACCTGCAGTGTCAGCAAACAACATGTGCACGGACGGACAGGGGCGTCAACAATATACGTCCAAATGAAAATGTGGTCGTAATAAAAACTAAACGTGGTTATTACGTCGCGTTTCGTCCTGAGGACAGAATAAACTCAAAAACGTACAATTTCACCGTCTGTGATTTTAAGAAGTTCACATAACTAAGAAAAGGTTGCTTCTGACCATCTTGACAGATTAATTACATGTCAAATGCAAAGATAGTGCTACTTCCATATTGACACTCAGGGCAATTCTTAAAACTTAAAAGAAAATCAATAAATAAATTTCCTACAATACATGAACAAAATAAAATACTGTCGGCTGATTTGCACTTTTTGTATAACGGAAGTTCTAGCAGATATCCTTCAAAATATCCCAACCATCTGCTATAAATAGCATATAATTATCGCAGCCTCCCATGCTTTCATAGCCTAATGTCAATTAATACTTTTCAACCCTGTAATCGCGCTATTTTATTTACTCACAGTGCAAATTACTCCGAGATTTATTCTACAGTTATTGATTAAGTCCGGCCAAATTCTACAAGTGATGTGGAAAATTATTGTTTATCTCGGGGTTAAATATGGTCTTAATGTTGGACGGTTATTGATAATATTATTAAAAGTACTTTTTTTTCATGTATAACCATGCGGTTAACGCCAGTGATGTCAGAATAAAAACGAATTTTTGAAGGTCACTCTAAAAGTAATGGGCTTTGTTGTTAGTGTTACGTGTACGATGAATGCTAGGATTAGGGTCTAGTTGTTAGAAGCATTTACATGGATTATTGGTTACTAATGGGTATACCATCTAGGAAGTCCAGTCATGGTTTTGTCTTTCGTTTTAATGACTATATTTTTTTTTCATTTGACTATATAGACTTTAGGATTTATATTTATGAAGACTGGACAATATATTGGAAACGTGTGCCAATAGAAGACATTATTAAATTCCGGAAATTACGCTTTCATGAACATAACAAACACATCTAGATTGCTTTAAAGATATATGAATAGAAATGTCCAATACTGTCTCCAACGTTAGATATTTTCAAATGAAACCATATATATAGATTCGCAGTTAAAATGCGAATGATCGGTTAAAGAATAGAAATGTGTGAGTTTCTGTGGAAAAATCGATGATGGCGGTGTTACGACTCTTTATCAAGATTGGTCAACCATAGTGAAACAGTGAGCAAGGGCAGACAACTAAATTAGCACAATATTTCCAATAGCGTCCTTATTTTGATGTAATCAACTGCTAAATTATATATTTTCACCTTAGATTGACCCGAGAACCCATAATTGACATATTTCAAGACCATGGTTGATTATGTACTAAGGAACTCAAAACATTCTAATTTCAGGCAGTAACTTCGATGATTTTTCACAAAACAACATGGTCTGTAATGACTGGCATCATGTGATAATCATGTCATTGGAGATTTTAAGTCGTGTATAATCTTTTCCTTCCTTGGGGCCCTCTGATTTAACGGTATGTGATATTTACATCAGTCAATGGACGAGGAGAGTGACATGAACAGCTATTGGAATTCATTTCTTATTTGACTATAACCTGTTGTTCAACCAATCCTCTCCTTTAGAATACTAATCTGTATATAATTTGAGCTGGTTAAATTTCATGAAATATTGCCATCTGGAAGCCTACTTGATACTGCTCTCTTAAAAGGACAAACACCACGTGACCATGATTATTTCACCAGGATAAGCTGTCATGAACTACTATCAAAAAGGCATCTAAATACGTAGAAAAAAAAAACCTCACAGGACGTCTTCTATTAAAGATACATTATGGGAGATTTTTATAAGGAGTTAGCCATTCTTGCTATAACAGTTCAAAAATAGATGATGAAAGAAGAATATATTGAAAATTGCAGTCAAATTACTTTATTTTGAACATAGTTATCACCAGTGTAATTTTTGACTATAAATGGGATTGAATTCCATCTTCACCGATTCTTAGTATGGCCGATCGTTTGATTGACAGGCGTTAACTCCACCTACATAATCTCTGCTGTCTTTTGTCTGCTGTCATCATATCCGAATTTGTGTTTTACCTTTTTGGATTTTTATAACAATTGGACAAAATGAGTGAGAGGGTAAATTTTCATTCATACTTGTATTTTGGGCATGCATTAAATCAATTGAATATACCGTAGGACATAATATTATAATAAAATTATGAAAAATCTATTGGTATACATGTACATTACACCAGTGGCGTCGTGCCTATTTAAATAGTTTAGATGTCATTTGTTAAGGCATCGCTCAACAGCGGCCTCGCTTCGTACACTCTATCATTTAGCCTCGATCCGGGAGTATGACGTCAACGTAACGGTTAATCTCCGCTCACGGCGCCATTTAAAATTAAATCAGTCAACGAAATCCCGTTTAAATCCAAGCTGAATCCAAGCCATCCGTGGGTCTACAGAGTTGATTTTGTGCTTGTTGTGTAAATAAAGATCTAATTTATAATTTCTATGACATCTGAAGCCTAAATAAAGACTTGCAATAATCTGATTTAGCTCTTGCATAATGTATGTTTAAATGGAAACTACATGATTATGTTATGGGGTTTTGATCTTCTAAATTTACATTACATAAAAACCAGCTTCTCCATATTTTAAAGAGCGAATAGCTCTATTCTTTGGAACCTTAAAATAGGCGAAAGTGGTTCTAAAACACAAATTAAGGTAATATTAGTGTATATAAAGTGATTTATATTCTTGTTTTTTATTTTTGTAATTTCTAATCAATTATGTATGGTAAAATACGCGAACAGTCCAAATTGATCGGCTCTCATTTTCCTTTGCTTACTTGGTATTCTACTCGTTTTTGTTTTGGTTTTTTTTTAATTTTTAATTACTTCCGCTTTGTCATCTGTGATATGTGTTTCTTTTGACATTACAAATTACAAATGGTGTTCGAACCCATTAGGCCTATGTTCATAGACTACACAAGTCGTGCAGTGATTTAAAAATGAAAATGTTCTTAAATATTAGAATAAGATTATAACATCAATATTCATTTAAATGGACCAATATTGAATTCTGAATTCTAATTCGTGTTTTTAATTTCCAATATTATTATGCTTAATATTAAGTTAAGGGTTTAGCCCCTTTAACGCAGCAAAAAGAACATTATACGCTGCCAGTTATCTATAAACTTACAATCCCATTGGGCGGTTTATCTAGTCGCCTCAAGTGCCTTTAAAGATTACTACTACTTGGCTACGGTGACACTAGGCAATGTTCACTTTAAAGGACAATATTGGTGTCAGTCATTATCACACATGTGATAGAACTAATTAAACACGTTCCAAATATAATTTTAACACAGAGATCATTGCTACGGTAGCTGAGTAATTCAGGTTTCCTGAATCGGAAGTGACGAACGCCAAAATAAAAGACGAGTCATCCCTCTATATAACTGACTGAAGTGAGGAGTTATAACAGCTACATGTGCGAATTTCTGCTCACGATATAATTCTTTCAAAGACCAAAAGTTGTTGTGTGAGAGGATATCTGACAATTCATAAAAAGAATTGACTGCCACTAGATAAGAGAACACGAAAGAAAAACAGAAAAAGTCCGTGCATTACCATGTTTTTATAAGGGATAGAATGAATATATTATAAACAAGGGAATGTACAGACTATTTCTATTTTTCTCGTGTTCTCTTATCTAATGACATTCAATTACTTTATTGAATTGTCATGTATCCTCTTACAGTCCCATATAACAACTTTTGGTCTTCAAAGGAATTATTAGTGAGCGAAAATTCGGCCGTGTATCTGTTATCACTTGTCACATCAGTCAGTTATATAGAGGGATGACTCGTCTTTTCCTTTGGCGTTCGTCACTTCCGATTCAGGAAACCTGTATTACTCAGCTATCGTAGCAATGATCTCTGTGTTAAAATTATATTTAGAATGTGTTTAACCAGCTGTATCACATATGTGATAATGACTGGCACCAATATTGTCCTTTAACCCAAACATGTTGAACCTACAACTACGCACTGAAAATTATCTGGTCGTTCAAACCCAATCCTCATAGAGTACCATGCCTCCACTCCATCCGGATTTCCCGGTTGTACGTGACAAGGAGTATGCCCGCCTGTTCAACCTCGTGGGTTTTCTCCGGGTCCTCAGGTTTCCTCCCACTGCTAAGACCCCTACGCGCAAGCTAATTATTGAAATAAAATTGAACCATATATTATTCCCAAAATGTCCTAGTTTATGTCGAGTGGACGTTAAACCCCATTTCTCTTTCCACTCCATGCTTTAGTGACAATCGGGGAGCTGGATGGCCGAGTGGTTAGCACGTGCGCGCTGTATCATAAAGCCTGTCATTGAGTCAACTGGCGTGGTGTCGAATCCATGGTTGTACGTGACAAGGAGTAGGTTGCCTGTCCAACCTCGTGGGTTTTCTCCGGGTCCTCCGGTTTTCTCCCACTGCTAAAGACCCCTACGCGCAAGCGAATTATTGAAATAAAATTAAACCACATGTTAGTCCCGAAATGACCTAGTTTGTGTCAAGTGGACTTTACCCCCCCCCCCCTCTCTCTCTCTCTTTAGTGACAATCAAATGAGATAAATGAGATAAAATGATGTTGGTGTAAATATTTATTATGCATGCGGTGGAATGTTAGAAATGATTATACTTTATTATTCGACTTATCGCACGGAATTGTTGTGCTTTTTATATGTAAATATCCAAAATGGGGCTCTATATACATCTCCTGACAATAGCAGCCATGCTATTTTAATATATACATGCATTATGCAAGAGCTAATTCTGTCTATTGCGGGCCTTTCGTTAAGCCTGAAATGTTATCTAAATTATTAGACATTATTTAGCTTAACAAGACCATAAATCAACTCTCGATGCCCGCGATATTTAATGGATTTAAATACGTTTTGTGCTGGATGCGGTTGCCATAAAAATGGATAATTTATCATCGTAACAACAGTGATAATAACAATCGAAGCGCGCCTATAATTATATCGCCGATTCTTGGCTCAGAGTGAAGTAATTCAACTGAGATTTTCAAAATATACTCTTTTCATTATCTATTTTTTTAACTATTATAGCGAGAACTTCAGCTGTTTATCAAACTTTACCTAATGCCGCTTTAATAAAATTAGCAATGATTTATTTTCAATATTGATCTTTACTAGCGAAAGGGTAACCAAAGAGAAGGATAGCAGGCGATATTATCGTGGGAGCCATATTGATTTTCTATCAACTTCAGACAGGGTTGTGCGAGGCTTTTCCAGTAACAGATGATGGTCTCTTCTCCCAAGACAGTTTAAACGAATCATCTTTGTTTGCAACCACGAACTCCGTTATGCCTGATGAACGTTTTGTTAATGTAAACCATTCGCTGAGTTAGTAATTTAGATTCATATCAAAGCTGCCGTTTAAAGATCGTTTATTTTGACATGTTAAATATAGTTCATTAACTTTATAGTTTCACTTCTGTAACTTACTTGTGCTTTCCTTTGTAATGGAAGTAAGGACACTGCCACCTTTTCTTCGGTCCACCCCTTATTAAGAGAGCTGGTAGCAGATGACCATACTTGAGACTTGTCCCCACCTTTTTGTTGGATGGTCATCTTATTATCACTACTCCCGGTGATGGAGTATCGGAATGAGAGGCAGAGATAGTGGTTAGTTACTGAGTAGCATCTGGAAATGGCAACAGCGCTCTTGTCCATATCACCTTTTGCTTCTGTTTTTAAATATCGACCTGAAACATAAAATATATATAGGGTGAGCCAGAGGTGTGTGTGTGTGGGGGGGGGGGGGGGGCAAAGTGTCCCGAGTTTTCGATCAAACCGCTTAGACTACGATCGGAATAATTCTCAATCCATAAAAGATAGTTCATTGGCCCGGGCCTTTCGTTGACTCGACACTGTATAACTCAGCACATATAGTACTGATCCAACATAACAATTTATACCTAAAAGACCTCTTACAATAATGTAAAGATATTAATAAACCAAAAGCATACATTCCCCCCCAAAAAATAAATAGGCTGCTAGGCTACGAAACTCTAACGGCGCTACAGATCTTCTGCTGCAATATGATTTCCTTATAGCGTTGAAAACTTATAGTGGAAATCCTTACATAAAAATTCCTGAAGATCCAATAAAATTATATAATACTAAGAAGTGTTATCGGAAATACACGTTCTCCCTTCACAAAGTTTGGCCATCAAATTTTACTAAGATCCGATGTTAAAGTATAGTTTCTGGACCTTTTAAAATGTTTATTACTGAGAAGGCATACCTCTTGGAGCCTCTTTTATACATAGTTCAAAATAAATAGAAATATGTTTCCAAGTATTCTACAACCTATGTTTTCTACAGGTCCCCCATAATAGTGATCTCTACAGAGCATCAAACAGTTTCGAAGGTGTAGTAATCACCGTAAATTGTTAACAATATGGACCCTGCTGTTGCCCAACTGAAACACTCATTAAACTACATGGATTCACTCATCCGGGTGTGTTTCTGATGGATGCATTTATTTATTGAAAGGGAGTAGTTATTATTTTGTCACACTGGTACAACTAGACAGGGTGGAACTTAAACTAAGCAAAACAAATAATCGTTACATAGTCAACACAGGATAAACAGGCCGATGAGCTGACTGGAGTGTTTATGCGAAATATTCTATTGTATTATAGAAAAAAATATATACACATAGACCTATTTGCACAAGGTTCTTACAACATCTATTCGATAAAATTACCATTTAAATATTTACCATCCTTATCGCTGACAACAGTCCATTCAAGTTTAGTAATGTTGCTATGGAAACCACACAGATCATCCGAAAAGTTGCAGATGTAGGTCATAGGTTTGGGATACCCTGTGGATTAAAAAAAAACAGACTACATTGTTTCTGGATATCAGATTTGGTTTTGGTTTTAAACTTTTTATAAAACCTGGCAGATAAAATCGGTTCCTTAAATTCATGGTTTATTGAACTTGGTCGACATAATTAAGCCCTCTTCCAGTTGACTACAATGGCACTCCGTGAAATAAATATTTCGCTAAAAAAAAGTAACGTTGAGCTATCATAGATGGCCATAAATGATAATTACGTATTAAAATCCGACATTTTTTTAAGAAAAGGCGATGAGAGATTCATGTCGAAATAATTGTATGATTTCTAAAACTTATATCCTATGAATTTCATCTGGACATTAACCAACAAAGGCCGTATACGTACTCAAATCGCAAGCCATTGGTTATCCTACTTTTCAAAGTTCATCTAGAGGTGGGCCCCACCCGCCTAATCTCCGCTTTACATAACTCTTGCTATGTTAATTATTGTGTTCTATGTAGATTTCGAAAGAAATTATCTGGTTGTACGGTAAATACTAAAGATACATTCAGTCAATTGAAATTGTGTTCACTTGCACAACTTTTGAGCTCATTTATCTATTTTAAAATGATATAGTACATAGCGTCGTTGATTAAACGATGTTTTTTTCGGAATGGAACTTGCTTTTCTTTTCTTTTAATAACAAAAAACACACACTCACATGAAAAGCATAACTTTGCTCTGCTGTACGCATTCTTTTAATTTCCCTTGAGATCATACAATGATTTATTTAAGGTTAAAATAGAATCAATACAATATATAGTAATTATTGTTTCTTTTTCTTTCCCAGAACTATTCATCCAACAGTACAAATGACAATTATTTCAAGTGTTCGATTATAGAAAACACCGTTATTGTTTAACTAATTTTAAGATTGTACGTATCAAAGCTACTTTCATTAACAGAATTAATGTTGACTGGTGTAATCTAATCATGTACACGCTAAAAAGATAGAAGACATAGCTCGTGGCTTAACGTACGAAGAATCATCTCTAATGTAAGTCACACGTAGCCCGGGCACGTCCCTGGGATTTAAACCGTGATTGGCCAAAGGTGTCTCTTTGAACATATTTTAGATAATATTAAAGATAACAAGCAATTTAGTAAATATTACCTTTCATAACCATTTCCTGAAAAACGAAGAAAGAACATAATGTAATCGAATACAATATCGGGCATAGATTCGGGACACACTTAAATTGAAGGAGATTGTTGGCATATGCTGATCACAATATTTTCAGTGTGTGTCGTTACAAATTCAAACAAAAGGATAACTTACGGCACTGGCAACCGCCAGAACGCATACAACGATCAACAACTTCATTGCTCCGGGTGGGATCGGCTGGTGAAATACGAACAGTTCGAATCAAATCAGACTAATGCAATGACCTTAATTCAATTCATACCGGATAAAATGAAAATATATGTTTATAAAACAGATAAGACTTGGTTTAGGTTGGTTTATCTATTTTTGATCTCAGTCTGAGTTGTTTAAACAAACAAAGAAATTAGAAACATTCCTTCGATGCCGAGCAGGGGGCTATGTTGACCATATAGATAATAACGTTCGTAATATGTGAGTTATTAAACGATAACTGTATTATTTATACAAACTAGCACCGGGTACATATAATAAACAAGTGAACAGTGAGGTTGGTCTACTCTCCTCGATAAAAACCCAGCATTCAAATCGGCCATCTTTATTTATTTCATAAAGTCAGCATGACCCCGTGAATGTTTTAGGCCATGATTCGGTTCAATTTGGGTCCCGGGCGAAACGGGTATCCTGCTAGTAATATAATAAAATCCAATTGATAACTGTAATGTTGTTATTAAGAAAGACCCAAAATGTACATTTAGTTTAGATTATAATAAATGATTATAAATTATGTCAAAATACATCTATAATTTTGTGATAGGTGCGTTTGCTATTCCAAAACTGACCAAACTGTTTTATTGATGAGATGTTATACACCAACATACAGTGGCAATGAAATTTACGTCTTACTTTTCTGCACCAACTGATCTAATAAAAACAAGCCAACAGTTATTCCTGTTTTTTATTATGCTTGTAATCGAAGAATTTTGGCTAAACAGATACATTGTATCACGTGCACTACCAATGTTTACGCGGGACTCGGTTTTAGTATCACTCCATCGACTAAACACCCGTTCATTGTCAGTCCCACATCCACTGTAAAAAAAATATGTTTTTGTTTTTTTAAATCTCTACTTTTTGTTATTTGAAGGAAGTTATTCGTATTATCACAGAAATAATATCTGTGATTTGAGATAATAACTCTGTATTTTTTTTTACCATAAAATCTGTTGTTTTAGTTGCATTTCTGTATTTGGACAGAAACGTCGGTACTTTAACATACTTTTCAGTATATTAACTTAGAGAAACTGTTTATTAACACTGTAAATTGTGTTATTAATCAACGGAACTGTAATATTCCAAGATAACTTGTATATTAACGGCAGTGTTCTGTTAGTTCACAAAGTTACATTGTTGGCTTCAGTTAACGCATGCGCGTCGCGTACTTTACTTATGGCGGTGAATGTTCGAATGTGCGCTGACGATGCAAAGAAAGAACAGCGGGAAATCAACAATAAGATTTGAAGGTGAGTCTTCCTAATAATATGTATGCAAATTTATGTTGTATTGTAGAAATATTTCAAATGGACTATGTAAACAATATTCATGTGTAACCATTAGCCAAGAAAGCTACCATGCTTGTTTTGCAAATTGTCCTTCCTTGTCAATGGTGCAGGTTGGAATTTGTCCAGTTTGGACTAACAACTGCTATTGGCAGTAGATGTTAAAGAGCCGTAAGCCCCATTAAAGAGTTATCTCCGCTGCCTTGGTAAGATGTCGCCGATAGGATACTCCATAACATATGCAGGAAAGTTAACACCTTTTAATTTCATGTTCCTGTATGTGCATCATTTTGTTTCAGGTTTATATTAAAGATAAAATTTCTTGTTCTTAATTTCTGTTCATTTTTAATATTTTTGTAAATTCATGACTGAAAAATTACATTTACAGAAAATAAATTATTTTTAACAGATGATTTTGTTTTATATTTAACCAAATTAATTATGTTAAAGAACATAAAATCTTCTGGCAGCAGATTTACCAGATTTTTTCCTCTAATTTTACAGAAACATGCTTCTGTGACTTAACAAAAATTGTCTGTTGAAAAAAAACAGAATAAAAATTACAGAAAGAAAATCTTGTAAATCTGCTGCCAGAATTTTATTTATTTTTTTATTATACAGAATTATTTTTTTACAGTGTATTAAATATTTTGGTTGTTAACTTACATAATCGTGTCGATCGCTTTAACTCATTCGTACATATTTGTTATCATGTGTTGTACTAATGGAACCCCTGTTATATTATTTATTAAATATATTGACGACTTTGCCCTTACTGAACGAACTAAATCGCGCCACTGTGGGGATCATGCAGGTGCAAACACTGAATTATTAAAACCATCCATATATAGACCACCAAGGTAGTCATTTCAGACAAAATTAACTCACCGTATTCTCAATAGTTTATTGTCAGGTGTAATGTTTTAACAAACTGGTTGCCCCTTGTCAGTAGTGTAGGGCCGAGGGACTGGCAAGGAACAACAGAATAGTTGTTCCCCAGTACATATTGGCTTCCACGTAAAAGAACCCTTGGCAGTTGGAATTCGAAATAAGAGTAGACCGTAGTGCGACTATCTGGGCTAAATTCCCCTCATATCACACTGCATGGCGTGTTCCCGTCTTCAGTAGCCGAGTAGGAGCAGAACAGTAGGACATTAAACCCCATTTTATTTCATTTTCACAACTATGGTAAATGAAGTGATATAAGGTATCCAATTCCAACTGTCGTGTTTCTTTTACGTGTACGCCACCCAGTACAAGGGTGGGCCTTGGATTCTGTTACATCCAAACAACTAGTAGTTTGTCCACCGCAATACAATGATGTTTCTTACTATTTATTTTCATTACTTCTATTGACTTGTTCACAGAATTGTTGGGTTTTGCACCAAAAGAAACCACATAGCATTTAGTAACCTAATTGGATATGCACAGGACACAAGTCCATAGAATAGAATTACTGTTTGTGATATAGCTTGGTAATTAACAATCGTATTCTGAGTCTAGAATATATCCTGGACCAGGTTTGGAATTTTGTAAATGATAATTCATGAAACTATATGCCAGATATTTCAAGCCAAGCTCTGTCTACAATCTATTTAGGTCATCAGAGCCACCAAGTAGTACACACGTGAGACGCCAATGATGGCACTAGGGTTGCTGTACAACGCGCTTAGACGTCGGTGACAATGCTTTATAGTCGTTCGGGTGGGACAAAAGATCCCGTACACACATTGGCGTGCACATTAAAGAACCTTTGGTGGTTGAAATTTGTAATAAGATTAGGCTGTTCCGCCTTTGTCCGGACATGCTTTCCCTAATGCCTGTATTTTTATAGCCCAGTGGATGCAAAAAAGTAGGACGTTAAACCTCATTTCAACACTGCTAGAAAAATCAACTTATTATAATGTGGGTTTATTATGCATTGTTTTGTATAAAATTAATTGGTAATTAAAGGTAGCATTCTTTCAGATAACATTTTGGGCCCAATGCAGTAGATCCTTGAATGAACATATTTTTACGACGGCAACATTGACTGTTAAAAGTACAAAGAACCCACCAAAGTAATATTCATGAACGTCTATTATGAGAATTGAAGCACGGCATGAGACCCACTGACCCAAGTCAAATCTCTAAATCTCTTGTTGCAGCTTGAAGTAGTGTGGGATGTTACACATAAGAAAAAGTATGAACATTCCCGTATATTTGAAAAGATAAAACATTCCACCATAAACCCGGGCTAATGTAGTTTGCTGAAAGGGAATTGTTCCTGGGCAACAGCATTTCCGCCTTTTCTTCATTGAATTTCAATGTGCCTGTCAATTGGTGCACCTCCATGTTTCGTCTTAGTTGAAGAACTAGACATTCCGATAAATACCTAGATCGAACCCGGGACCACGTGGACAATACTACTTGAGTCACACTGCCTCCTGTGCGCAGTTCCGTGTTGAAATTATATAGTAGCGTTTCGGGCTCAAAGGGTGATCTATAGTCAGAAGTAGAAAATCTAAGGTAAAATTGAAAATTCTTATCCAAACGTGATATTAACGTGGTGGAACCCACAACTTTATGCATTTAACCTGTAAAATGTTTAATTGTCATTTTGCGTTTTTAACCACGGACCATTTTGATTAAAATTATGTCGGTGTCACCAAGCATAAGGAATATGAATTCTTATAATACCGATTCCGGAAATACACTCAAATTTAATGAGTTAATGAATTGTTCCTTGATATTACAAAAGTTAAAGGGCGTATGACTCTATTCCTTTGAACCATAAATGGGTCTAAATGCCTATTTTAATGCAATATGATCGAGTGTATAACGCGAAGAGACTAAATCGAACGACAATCGTTTACGCCTAATTAGTCCATTCCAAACGTTTTTGTTTTTTTTTTATTATTATTTTATCGTTTGTGAATCAGTCATTACTTATTACTCCCGCATGGCAATGTAGTATATGTTTTTCTTTGTTCATTCCTTTTGCGCCTAAAACGATAGATTATACGAATCGTGCACTGATTTTAATATGTTCATTATGTCTTAAAATTGAATATTAGGATCCCACATTTTCACGGCAACATGACAACATCAATATGGATTGAAATGGACCAATATTGAATTATAATTTGTGTTTTTAATTTCGAATATTATGGAAAGTTCAAGGTTTATCTCCCTTAAAATTTGTGATATGCATGTCTCTTTCGACTAATGCTCGCAACAGGAAAGGCGTCTACGATACTACATCTTGGTAAAGTACATTAAATACATTGCTTATTTTAATAGTAATGTAAATTCTTTAAATGCTTTTGTAATGCGGTCGAACAGACCAGACTAATACTTGACTTTTCAGTGGAGGGTTTCTTGGAAGAAATCTATTGACAGTAACGTTCGCTCGTGTTAATGGATAAATAACTGGTATTGATTTGAAGTCTGAATTAATTGCTACAGTTCCTTTGGTTTGATCCAAATTTTCAAATTAGACGTGTCGTTGTGGTAACATTTTCCTGCATGTTTATTAATTCAGAGACATGAAAATACAGTCGACTATATAAAACTGCTTTTCAAAATGGTAAATTCCGCAAAATTTATCAGAGTCTCCATCTTGTAGAACTGTACGCCACAGGCATATATCACGTAACTGTCCTCTGGCAACTAACGTTATTACATTCGCCAACCCATTCACCTTTCTTGAAGAGATATAACGCTATTAAATTATTGGTGTTTAAAGGGGCCAAATTAATAATTACATTAGATAAATT